ATGGAGATATGGAAAAGAAATCAAGATTAATTTAGAAAAAGATATTTCAATTAAAAAATGTGAATGATGACATTTACATAGCAGCCGTACCAATGGCAGTTTTTCAGTTTTTGAGATGTTTCAATGACGAATTACGCCATGCGAATATTTGTAAAACCTCATCCCTTTCCCCAACCAGGGTGTGTGTGGGGGCGAGTGGGGAGGGAAGGCAGGAGGAGATAGAAAGACGGAGGCACCATTTTTTTTTTTTATTAATGTTATAATAGATTACAACCTTGTGAGATTTCAGTTGTACATTTTTGTTAGTCATGTTGTGGGTACACCACTTCCCCCTCTCTGCCCTCCCCCCACCCCCCCTTTTCCCTGGTAACCACTGATCAGATCTCCTTATCAATATACTAATCTCCACCTATGAGTGGAGTCATATAGAGTTCGTCTTTCTCTGACTGGCTTATTTCGCTTAACATAATACCCTCGAGGTCCATCCACGTTGTTGTGAATGGGCCAATTTTGTCTTTTTTTATGGCTGAGTAGTATTCCATTGTGTATATATACCACATCTTCTTTATCCAATCATCAGTTTCTGGGCATGTAGGCTGGTTCCACGTCTTGGCTATTGTAAATAATGCTGCGATGAACATAGGGGTGCAACGGACTCTTGAGATTTCTGATATCAGGTTCTTAGGATAGATACCCAGCAATGGGATGGCTGGGTCATAGGGTATTTCTATTTTTAACTTTTTGAGAAATCTCCATACTGTTTTCCATAGTGGCTGTACCAGTTTGCATTCCCACCAACAGTGTATGAGGGTTCCTTTTTCTCCACAACCTCTCCAACATTTGTCACTCTTGGTTTTGGATGTTTTTGCCAATCTAACGGGTGTAAGGTGATATCTTAGTGTAGTTTTGATTTGCATTTCCCTGATGATTAGCGATGATGAACATCTTTTCATGTGTCTATTGGCCATATTCATATCTTCTTTTGAGAAATGTCTGTTCATGTCTTCTGCCCATTTTTTGATCGGGTTGTTTGTTTTTTTTTGTTGTTAAGCAGTGTGAGTTCTTTGTATATTATGGAGATTAACCCTTTGTCGGATAAGTGGCTTGTAAATATTTTTTCCCAATTAGTGAGCTGTTTTTTTGTTTCAATCCTGTTTTCCCTTGCCTTGAAGAAGCTCTTTAGTCTGATGAAGTCCCATTTGTTTATTCTTTCTATTGTTTCCCTCAACTGAGGAGTTACAGTGTCCGAAAAGATTCTTTTGAAACTGATGTCAAAGAGTGTACTGCCTATATTCTCTTCCAAAAGACTTATTGTCTCAGGCCTAATCTTTAGGTCTTTGATCCATTTTGAGTTTATTTTGGTGTGTGGTGAAAAAGACTGGTCAATTTTCAATCTTTTGCATGTGGCTGTCCAGTTTTCCCAGCACCATTTGTTGAAGAGACTTTCTTTTCTCCATTGTAGGCCCTCTGCTCCTTTGTCGAAGATTAGCTGTCCATAGATGTGTGGTTTTATCTCTGGGCTTTCAATTCTGTTCCATTGATCTGTGGACCTGTTTTTGTACCAGTACCATGCTGTTTTGATCACTGTAGCTTTGTAGTATGTTTTGAAATCGGGGATTGTGATTCCACCGGCTTTGTTTTTCTTGCTCAGGATTGCTTTAGCAATTCGCGATCTTTTGTTGCCCCATATGAATTTTAGGATTGTTTGTTCAATTTCTGTGAAGAATGTTCTTGGGATTCTGATTGGGATAGCATTGAAATAATTCTATAATATTTAAAATCCAGTCTTTATGCACATTTTCCCATTTGACCCAAGCAAAAAATTCAGGATCCAAATCAAGGTTTATGTATCGTATTTGGATATTGTAACTCTCTAGCCTTAATCTAGAACAGTTCCTCTATCTTTTTTTTCCCTTTTGACATTGGCATTTTGAAGAGTTCAGGTCAGAGGTCTTTTTGAATATTTCCTTTTTTCTTATTTCTTGTAAATCAAAATTTGGACTAGAGGCTTGATTAGATTCAATTTAACATTTTTTGCGAGAATACTTCACAGTCTTCATACTTTTCCAGTCATGATTAAGCCTTCTCGAATGCAACTACATCTACCCGTGCCGTGAGTTGCTAGTTAAATCCATTCCACTTATCAGCATACACACTCTTCTATTGTGTCCTACAAAGAAGAGTTTAGCGTTTAATCCTCCTGTCTGAGTATATGTTAATACCCTGCACTGGAACATAGAGTGCCTACCCTTAATAAAGTCACTGCAACTTTGCCTACACTTGGAGCTGATGCAATGTAATCTACAGCAAAGTGTACTGATGTCAGCATTGTTTCATGAGTTTCAACTCCTGGCACCCTGAGGACTGTTGATACAAGCTGTGTGGGCCCTGCAATTCAAGTATGTATGAATCTTGATGTTATCAAAGCAGATACCAAGGCAACTGCTGGCCAGCTGGCCATATTCCAATTTAGGCAATGTTATTTTTCTCCCTGAAATTCTCTTGCAAGTCCTAATTGGTCCTGGTGTTTTTGTGATAGCTTTTTTGGTAGCATTCATCACAGCCTATTAAAAATGGCAGAATCAAGATTATACTGAACACTTAGTACATTAGGAACATTCTCTGCCCAGTGGATAGAGAAGTGTTTATGGAATCTACTTCATAATCACGAGGAAAACTCCCAAGGCTGCCAAGCTCATGTACTCCTCCTATCCTAGACTTATATTTGATCATGAAAGATAAGCAAAAGGAAGAAAATGCACTTAAGGGAGAAGAAGAAAATGCTCTGGGAGGGCAAAAACTCTTAGATTGGTTTAGAATGTTTTTAGCCGTCATATTGAAAGTTAAGTAATGCACTCCATCAGTCACTTCTTCTGTGCAGAAGGAAATTTGCTCACATGGGACTATGAAACAATTTTAAGTTGACTCTAGGTTCAAGTAAGGCAAAATAATACACCAATTAAGACCACAGATTTTAGAATCAGACCTGGATTTCAGGAAGAGGGCCATGCACTAGCTAGTGACTTGGGTAGTTTACTCACTCTGTGTGTAAATCTGTTCTATAATCTATTCTCTCTAATCCATATTATAATCTATTAAATGGAGCCATAAAACCTCTTAAGATTGTTGAAGAGAATGAATCAAATATGTATAAAGTGCTTTAGCTTGGTGTATAGCACATTGTGTGTAGTCAGTGTTCGATAGTTATTAATAACTTCTAAAGCAGTCCAGTTTGGGCACATAGTAGGCATTAAATATTTATTGAGTAAGTGAATGAATCTAAGACAGTGGTCCTCCAAGTTTAATGTGGGGAACTTAAAAATGAGAGACTCTGACTCAGTGAGTCTGAGAAAGGCTCCAGAAAAATTATATTTTTAATAATTATCCAGGGGATTTTGATGCAGGTGATCTGAGGATCAGTCTTTGAGAAACACTAAGTAAAGTATCAAGCAATTCTTTATTTCCCTTTCCCTGCATAGACTTGAAATAGCTATATATCTCAGATGCTGAGAAGGTAAAAAGATCTTCACATACCTTTTTTAAAGTTTAATAGCTAACATTTTTAGGACCACTTTCTAGTACTTAATTTTGAAATAGCAAATATTATTAGAAAAACACATTTTGTATGAGTAGGATGTATCATTTTCTACTAATTTAACTAATTTAACTAATAATTCTACTAATATCTCCTGCTGGAGTGTACCAGAACCAGTAGCATCATCCAAGTTCACCCAAGAAGAACAGTTCCTGTTCTGAGGCCTAGGCACATTTCAGAAGCTGGACGCCACACATTTTATTCACATGAGTCTGGATTAATTAGCCAAACTGAACTTGTTGCAACATTTTTCTACCAGCAGATGCCAGATAACAAAACAAAATAGAATCTACTGTAGTTTCCAACTACATGACATATGATGTTATTTGGCATCTACAGCTGAACATCATCAATCCAAATTAAGCACCCTGAATGTGGGCAGCCACTTGAGTGAGAGTGAGCATTATTACTTTGTGTCTGGTAAAAAACACTTTCTTTGTGGGATCTCTCTTTCACCTTTTTTCTCATGTTAGTTTACATTCAGAAATTTAATATGTATTTGAAAATTATCTGTCAACCACAGTCTTAGCTAAGACAAAAGATAAAATCTTTCATTATTTTTCCTACCATTCCTACCACCCCCATCC